GTGGTTGTCATGGCCAGATAGGCCAACGCACCAGCACACTGCGTATAAATGACAGGTATTAACGAGGATGCAGTCGTGTAATTACGCAGTGCATTCTTCTGCTTAATTTCGTCTCTGTTATTCGGTCGTTTACAGTGTTCGTTCATCTTCTTGACGGCCACTGCAATGTGCAACAAATGGCTCGTCACGTGAACACGAGCAGAGCAGTTAATGTCACTAACAACAACACAACAATGCCACCCTCGCAAATCGAATCGTACACCCATATCGCTCCAGAACGAACGCGTTATCAGCCAGCAAATTATACGCTGTCGCTGCACGAATAAACAGAATCGAACGCACATCTCGTTTCAACATTTCACCGATTTCCTCTGAATGTTCGTTCGTTCGTTCGTTTAATTCAACCAAATTATGAAACACTAATGACAATAAGCACATACCATAAGTGTCAGCAAGATTGACACGATCTTTGGTGAACGACATTCGATTTTTACGTTCTCGGTTCTCTTCTAACTGATCGAATTTATCAAGACTTACCAGACCCTTAAGATATCAATTTATCAACTGCAATGAATGATGTATGAAGCGATGCTCACCTCATAGCAATGCTCTAAAGCCTGTTTATAGCAGTCGATTATCGATGAACAATTCGGAAGTGATCTTAATTTGGGTGGTGGTTTTTCGCCGTTACTCTCTTCTAGTGATTTCTTTTTCAGCGATTCGATCTGAAACTTTTTTGGTGAAAACATTAATCGTAAGATTTGAGAATGCAACAAAGAGAATGCAACAAACCGAGATGGCTGCGTAGTGCTCATAGGTCTGTCCGTACTCACGCTGCCACTGATCATCGTACGCCCAAGTGGGTTCATTCTTCTCGATCTCATTCTCGTCTTCATCAGATCGTTTCAACGCATCATGTCCATACGACAAGTACAAGTTGGCCAGTAGGTATCGTGCACATGCCACTATCTTTATTATGAACCAGTTATTCGGTACTCCAGCCACAAGTGCTTCTCACCTGAGGATATTTATTCTTGTCGATAATAGCCAGACAAACGTGTAGCAAGCGATAGATCGCATTCGCGATGCGTTTCGGTCGAGTTGTCGCTGATCTTCGCATTAAGTTACGCGCTACCTTAAGTTATTGATATTGATTCAATTGTAACAGATATGGGCAGATAGGTAACCTTATAGATAAGAACAGCGACAGACAGTGTATACGGATTGGAGATCTCATCTTCGAGTAAATCTGCACAGAGCGGTGTTAAATCCCAGAGTCGCAGCATCCCTTCGTTGCCGTTCATTACATCTGAATTAATTAAGTTCCGATCTTCGAATAAGTTGCGAACGGACGAGTTAACGATCACCTCTGGATAACCAGTAAGTATGTCCCTCCTGCGTGGCGTGTTCATTCAAGAAGTCAACCAAATTTTCGGCGATGTTCTTCAGCACATTGGGATCAAATTTTGAATTGTCCAACTTTGGAATATCTTCGGTTCGTATCACCTCGTATTCCTGCAATGCTCCACTTAGCAACAGTCAAGATCGAATGGCTTGATATACCTTGACGTAACCAGCCATATGCCAGCAAAGTAACGCTTCAGGAACGTTGCACATGCACTGATCCAGATACAGATCAATGCCCGTTAAGCACGAGATCGGTCGTTGTTTCATATCCTTTGCGTAGATCGTTACACACGGATTCGTGTTGCACCCGAATATCGGGATGTTCACATCGACTAACATCCGTAAATTCTCGAATTTCCATACACGACCTTCGATTTCCACATCCACCTGTGCACCTTGCCAATAATAACAATGACAACAACAACAACAGAGAAATCAAAGCAAAAACCTCATCAACATCCTGAAAGCCTGTGATACCATAATCCTCGAGAGGATCAGTGAATCCACTCTCAGCACTCACATTCGTCTTACTGGATGCCTCTGCAAAGAACGGTTAATAAATCATCTAATGAACAATAAACAAACAAATCAATTACTATTGATATTCTTCGACGATTTAACGTTCACTTTCGCTTCATCTAAACCCTCCGCCTGATGATCCATTAAAGCCAAGCTAAAACAATAACAGTTACTGACCGTAATATTAATAATAATGACAATCACAATGATATTAATGGAAATACCTTCTAGAATAAAGATTCTCCGTTATCATGCGTTCTCCGAGTCGATTGATGATATCGTTAGTTGCTAACTGAGAATTTTGTGAAGGAGAGGTCGATTCACTACTTATGCCAATATGTTTCGAATATTGCAACTTGAGAAAGTTTGCCACTGGAGAGGTGGATTTATTGTTGAAGTTATTGTTCATATATGCCTGAAGTTTGATGTAACAATAATGCAATGCAATGCACTTAAGTTGCTAGTTGAACATGGAATGAATAAACGTGAACCGTTCTCAAATACTCGCAGTTGTCGATGAGAATGGTCTTGCCGATTCGATGCACAAACATATTCAACGGTTGATTGGCATTGAACGGTGACAATAACAGTTTCTTGATCGTGTCCGAATGACTGATCACGTCCACCGAGCCTATACTATCCGTGTACTTATTCGCGAGTCGTAAACTGAAATAAAACTGCGCATTAGTAAACAACAAATGCTCAATGCAAACGCACCTATGGAAGCAATCCTTTTGGTGAGAGGAAAAGCCGAATCGTCCGTTTGGATACGTTGATGAATGATCATTATTGAACCATGCTTTCAGTGGAGGTACGTTGAGGTTTGTATTGGGTGCCAGCTTGATTGCAGGGATTACTGGAGAGTTTGGTGAGAGTGACAACGGTAATGACACTGACAACAGACTGAAATTCGTTTATTTATATTAACACTTCATTTGTTGCAGATGCGTTCGTTTATTTGTGATTATTGCATCGCTTTTCATTCACATTTTCGGTGCG